ACACAAAAGCTCCCTTGCTTTTAACAGAGCGTTTCATAATTTATGAGCGTTTTAAATTATTTAAACTGCAACACTTATCATTCAACCAGAGCTCATAAGGATCCTCAAGAGCACAAGAGAGACTGTTTTAAAAGATACTTGTACCAGATACATGAGAATCCAAACTTTTTTATCTACGTCTTTAAAATTTATCACACAGTAACAAGTCAAATTTCAGGGTCGTCCGTATACCAGAGATTATGGTACCGCTTCAGAAAGGTGTCAGCTAGTCCAACCCCAGGATACATTCCTCGTGGACTGGGGCAAGGTAGAAGGGTTGTTTCACCCTCGCAGCCCCAAAGTGCACGGTGAGCAGGACACCAGGCTGCAGCAGGGTGATGGTCGAACCAGTGTCGACAAGGGCCTGGCAGGGTCTGCCCTCGATGAGGCAGGGAAGAAATAAGCCCCGGCTGTGGCCAACCCTTCCCACAGCAGGCGGGGTGAAGCGCTCTTTCTGGCTTTCCGAAGCGGGGGTAGCGTCGCTTAAGGGCAGCCTTCCCCCCTTTAGGCCACTCCGCTTCCGTTTCCCAACGGCCTCCGGAGTCCCTGGGGATCCAGCGCCTGGCACTCCTGGGCGATGTGCCCCCTCTCCCCCCTCTGGGCCTCAAACATTTGCCATGGGATCTCATCATTATAATGGCTCGGTCTCACTGGTGCAGGCTGGAGCAGGGGTGGCAAGCTGGACCCCGCTGGTCTGGCATCTCTTTCCTGCCACATGGCCTGAGGCGACCCGGGAAAGGGCCCCCCTTCCGCTGAGTAGGTCACTTGACCTGGCGGCTGCTGCTCACCCCCAAAAGGCGCTTTAGGGGGCACTCGGCTGCTGGGGGAACCAGCGCTTCTCTGAGTCCGACATCATCCGCCGTTCACTGTCCATCCTCCCACTTCTAACACCAATGTAATGAATTTGGGTCCGTTGAGGACGAACACAGAGACTCAAACCTGTGGAGTTAAAAACTGTGCTTTTTTTCTTCTACGTCACCACCCGCCAGAAGCACTCCCGCACCCAGACGAGAGAGAAACACAAGACAAGCCCGCCAAGAGTGCGGGCCCAAGAAAGACAGAGAGAGAGAGAAAGAGAGAGACACCAAGGGGTGTGGAACCAGGGAACTATTTACATGGAAAACGGGCAATCTCCCCAGACTGTACGCCCGTTTCACTGTTACCTGGATACATGGGGGATATCCTCTATATCCTCTTGGGGGGAATATCCTCTTGGGGGATATTCTAACAACAAGTGATTTTAAGACGATCTGTCAAAGTGCAATGAATTACAATATGCTGGACAGTATGCTTCTCAAAGCGCTTTACAGGATAACAACAATAACAACAACAATTTTAAAAGTCCTGGGAGGAAGAATATCATCAATATTAATAATAATAATAAACTTTATTTTATATAGCGCCTTTAAAAAACTTTTTTTAAATGCATTTGCATTTGCACACTGAGCAGTGTTTACTTGAACATGGAGATGCCAAACTGAATAATTCCTGCACACAACCATTGTGGCGGAATTTGCATCACTTGGCAGGGTTATGATTCATACAAGTGGTGGTGGATTTGGAGACAAAATGTATTTACATTGGGTTGCTGTAAGTGGAGCACTAATAAGCCCAAAGCTCTACTTATTATTTTA